CAGTGCCATATTCCAATAGCTGATCAAGGGACCAAGTACTTACCCTGACTGTCTCTCAGGTCATCTTAATAACTGGTGGAGGTTTATGGTTTTTAAGAATTCTGGTTAATAGCTGGGCACAGTGGTGTGCACCTGAAATTAAAGGTACTAGGAGGCAGGTGGGTTACAAGTTCTAGGCCAGCCTCAGGAACTTAGCAAGAATATCTAGAAGTTTAAATGGCTGGGCATGTAGCTCTGTAGTAGAGTACTCTTGCATGAGACCCTGTGTTCAATCTCCAGTACTAAAAATATAATAATTCTAGTTAACAACAGAATTCAAAATGAGTTCACAGAAAACAGGGTGCAGAGGACCAACTCATCTCACCAAGAGGAAGCACCAAGCCCAGACCCCTGAAAGATGTTGTCAGACAAACACTTCTCCAGGAAAACAGAGGTACAGAGAAATGTCAGAGGGTGGGCTGGTGGCCCTGATTCTAGCAACCAAGTGTAAGAAGTCATTTTTGAGACAATCATGGAAAATTGAAAAAGGATGTGGGTATTAACTGTAATACAGATTTGTTGTGATGACATGCTGTTGAGAAGAACTCTGATGTATTTATTGTAGAAATGACATGGTGTCTGGGATTTGCTATAAAGGTCCAATAAAAAGGAAAAAAAATATTACTACATTGACTAAGGTAAATCCAAGATGACTTCTTATCAGCATGATACCATATACTTCAGGCATGAAAAGACACAAATTCTACCTTTCCCCGAGGGACAAAATTGGCCTGAATTAATTAACACAAAACAGCAGAAAACACTAAATCCTTGTATTCATGGAATTGATCACTTAGTAGGGTAGAAAAATACCACTATGCCCTATTCAAAGTGCCAATAAGAGTTCAAATGGGAAAACCAGCTCTTTCAGTGGAGGTAAGAGAATATGGGGGATGACAAAGCTGCATGTATACTGGACTCTGGAGGGTGGGGAAGTTTTGACAGTGAAGGTCAAGTTGAAGACACACTAGCATTGAAAGCACAATGCTTTGAGAAAGGGTGGAAGAGCAAGCAACCAGCTTGGTTAGTGTATAGAGCACATGAGAAATAGACAGCTGAAATTGGGCAGGACCGTGAGGGATCATGAATGGCCATGAAGCAGGGACTTTATTCAATAGGCAATGGTTAGTCACTGAATCTTTGAGAAGTAATTTAGAATCTACAGTCTAAAGTCAATTTAAAATTGACTCAAGGGAGCTGTGGTGTAGCTCAGCAGCAAGTTTACATAGTCCCATCAAGGCTGAGGCAGGAGGATCACTTGAACTGAGGAGTTCAGGGTCACCCCAACAATGTAGTGAGATCCCACCTTAATAAGTAATTGAGTAAACATACAATAAAGCATAGTTAAAATTACATAATTGTAAAGAAACCAAATACAACAACTAAAGAGTAAAAAGCTTTTGAAACCATGCTGTTGATTTTAATAGTATTGATGATTGTTGAGAGACCTTTGCAGCTACAGTCTTACTGGCTTTCACCTCTCGAAACTCTCATTTTCATCAATATGTTGGTGACAAATAATAATCTCCCATTTCTTGAACTATTATGAATAATAAATGTTAACAAAGAGCCCTTCACAACCAAATGCAGCACATAAGGAGTGTCTTATGCTTATCATCAGGAGAACCCTTTAGTTATGCTAAGATAATGCTGACCTATGAAGAAAATAAACTACAAATACCAATTCTACATCATTTTTGTCTTACCCCATACCTACATAATAATTTTTTATTTGCTTGACTCTATCTCATCATCTTCCCTTCCCTTTTCTTTCATTAAATACTGCATATATTTCAACATGTTCATTCCTAAATGTATTTTATCTAAATAGATCTCTTCCCCTTCTCTCAGCATTTTCTGCTATTACTCTAATATAAGCCTCCACTCTCTATTATTAAAATTAATGCAGAGTCCTGACTGCCTGTGATCCAATGTCTGGATGAAAGGTAGCCTGCTAAACTGTTTGCTAAGACAAAAGTCTGAGAGTCACTCTGGATATCTCCTGGTGCTGAAGTAGTTGCTTCTTATTGCCAGGAACTGTGCCACTGAGGGGCTAGTAATCAAACAACCTCTGCCCCAGAGTTCAAAATAGTGTTTAAATCATAGTGAAAGACAAACATGAACAAGTAATTTGGGGATTTGTTGAAACCTTCCTGGAAGAAAGAACAACAGAGTTGGATCTTCAAGGGTTAGTAAAAACCTGCAGATCAGAGAGAAGTGCTCCAGGAAGCAGGAAAATCATCAACAAAAGGAGTTTACTGAACTATATAGAGTGTGCAGGCTACTACCTCTTCAGGATTCCAAAGGATAAGATAGGAAGAGAAGATGGAGCTATGAAGTAGGGAAGGTTGGACTTGATGCTGATGCATGGGAAGTCAAATATCAATTTCTACTGAAAGGAAAGTGACCACAACACTCGGAGGGACCAAAATATCTTTATTGCAGCAGTGCAAAAGAGGAGAAAAGAGAGGAGTGAGAAAGAGTGGGGGGAGCAGAGGGGGGGGGGAAGGAGAGAGGGAGAGGGAGAGCAAAAGCCAGAGAAGAAAGAGAGAACAAGAGAGAGAGAAAGCAAGAGAGAGAGAGGCCCTGTAGGAGGGAGTTTTTATAGCCAAAATCTAATGGGATCTTTGGGTCTGCAAGCTCCCTTGTTGGTGTACAATGATTGGATCACACAGTAGTTGTTAAGGGTGCCATCTTCTGCCTTCAGGCAGATGGGACAGGGGTCAGATGTGTATTTCTATTGCACCAGACTGGTGGGGGTTGAGTGTTCAGCCTTGAGTGGGGTCGAGTGTTCAGCCTTGAGTGGGGTTGAGTGTTCAGCCTTGACGCAAATAGATGATAAAGGACCAGACAGAGAGGGGTTTGAGTGCCCAGATTATCATGCAGCTAACGTTTGTTCAGCCTGCCCTGTAGACAACTTAGTTCAGCCTGCCCTGCACCTAACATCTACCTGGTTATAAAACATTGCCTCTCCTCCTAAAATGTTTTTCTCTGACATTTGCTGAATCCAACAAAGATCTGAGTTGTACTGAGCTGTCAATTCCCTGCCCCCAATAAGTTCCTCTTATATCTCATCAACATATCAGAACAGAAGAGATGACTCCAAGATAGCATTTAGCATCTGGCCATTAGATAAAGTCTCACATGAATTTTACAAATTGAGTAGTGCTACATTTAAAAACTCTTTCTAATTATCTGACTGTTCAGTTACAAAACAAGAAGAAATTATCTAGAATAATTCTTATCCCTTCTTGATCACATTAGACTTTCCTTGGAAAACAAAGATAAGATTGTATTTATTTTACTTTTTCATTTCATTTAATTAGAGGATACTGGGATTCAGGATTCGACCCAGGGCCTTGTGCAAACACTCTTCCACTGAGGTACATTCCCAGTTCTTTATATGTTGTGTTTTGAAATGTATTTTTTTAAATGGGCTTTAGTCATTATGTTGGTTGGAAAATTACTTCTTTTGAATTTCTTTCACATTTACCACCTTTTTTCAACTTTTTATATTAAGCTAATAGTAACCAAAGAGTCACTGGTTTGTTCATGCCCTGTTTGCATATAGAAAAACCAATCATCTGTTTTCATTAGATTTATATACAGTGTGAGAAGTGATGATGAGGTTTGTTGGCAAATCTTAGGAAAAGTGAGTTCATCTGTGAATTTAAGCTTATCAGCAGCTGAGGTGAGGTGGTAGAATAATTTGAGATCAATGTGAAGAGTTATCTGGAGTCTCTCTCTCTTCTTTTTTGTGGTACTGGAGGTTGAACTGAGGACCTTGTGTGTGATAGGCAAGCACTCTAGAATGAAGATCTATTCCTAGCCTCTTGTTTCTTCTTATAACATTTATAATCTTATCATTAGAACCCTGCCCTCAAGCCTCATCTAAACTTAATTACCTTTAAAGTAACAGGCTCCATTCTCAGAATAGCATTACATTGGGGTCAGGGCTTTAACCTGAATTGTGCAGTCACATAATAATTGTATTTCTAATGTGTGTACCTTTGTAGTCACCATCTAAGATACCATCTCCTACTACTAGTTTGATTAGATCAGTAATTTTTATTTATTCCTGTATTTATAAACTACTTATTTGGGAGTAAGGATATAAGTCAGTGATAGAGGCTGTGCTTCGTGTGTCTGAGGCCTGGGGTTTGATCCCCAGCAGCTCTACATAAATAAACTCTCTAATGGGAAGATAGATTCTATAATGGAAATACTATGGCTTTACAAAATTATTTTACTTTTTCTGTTACTGGTGATTGAACCAGGAGTGTTCTAAATTTAAGCTATATGCCAAAGTTTGTTAGAAAAACATGGCAAAATAAAATTCTGGTTTATTTTAGGACAGTATTGACTCACATACATCCAACAGTCCAACAAATAAAAGCAGCTTCATAGACAAAAAACAAATTAACAACAAACACACACAATAAAACCAAGGCATTTCATCTTTGGCTTTTTTAACCATCTCATATAAAGCAAGTACTTATATTACAGCTAAACTACATACACACACAAAAAAAATTTACTGGAAAAATTGGAAACAGATTTTTGTTGTTATTGTTGCTGTTTTTGATTTTTTTAAACAAGTTTTTTTCTTTTCTTTTTCCTTCTTTGACATTATAAGGCACATGGTCACGAAAAAGTAAACTCAGAAGTAGAACCAAGAACCACTCCAAGGATGGTTTGGTCATTCCAGATCAGTAAAAATGAATGGCCCCGACTAATCCGTATAAAAATACAAAATGTGAATAAAAAGCACAGATTTTCCTTTTTTAAAGTACTTTTAAGGGGGGAAATATAAGTAGGGCCTCGGAGGTTTTGGCTCTTGTTTACCCTCCCCTGTTGCAAACTCACTTTGTGTTTTCTGTGGGGTGGTGGAGAGCATATGTCACCTGCAGGTGGCGCTGGTGGGTGGGCGGGCTTCTGTCCTCCAGGTGACCTCCATTAGATTCCCAGAAAGGAAGTAGAGAGTGAAGAAGTCTCTGGGGCTTCCGTTGTTTAAGTTTGAATTCTCCTTTTCTGCTGTCTCGTCATCCTCATCCCTCTTGCGCTTCTTGGCATCAACGTCGTTCTCCTGGTCATCTGCAGGGCCCCTGGCCTGGCTGCCTAGGCGTCTTGGTCTTCCTCTCCTCGTCCTCCTCAGCGCCTCCCCCTCTGCTTCCCTGCCTCTCTGGGAGCCGCCAGCTGCATCTCCTCATTAGCATTCCCTTTAGCAGGGTTCTCTTCCTTTCTCTGCCTCCTCCACGACTTCCTTCTCCTCCTCTAAGTCCCTGGTGGTGATCTCGGAGCAAGTGGCCACAGAGGCCTCTGGCTTGGTGAGGCAAGCAGGTGATCCCCTGCAGCGGGGTAGAAAGAAAACTAGAGTTCAGGGACTGCGCCATAAAGCGGCTGGAGTCCGCGGGTGGAGGAGGCGCACACTGGGGGCAGTGGCGGCCAGAGCGGAGCTGGACCCGGGAACAATGCAAAGATGGATTTCTTCCTGGTAATGAATATATCTATCCCTGGTAAGCAGGATATTGCTAACGCCACATTTTGCATTTCTTTTCACAGTCAAGAGAAAGCGACAAAAGGGCTGATGATATTAATTACTTGGGAAGAAAGGGGACCCGGAAGGACTTAAAGATATAATTGGGATAAAGATAAGGAGGTCTTTAAATTTTGTGTGTGTGTGTGTGCACGCTAGAAGTGGCCTCTACAGTGGACTCTACAGCTGAGCTAAATACCACATCCAAGATACAAGAGTTTGACTCAGTTTACCCTCAGAATCAAATGATAAGATGTATGGGTAAAGAAGTAAAAGTAGGTGAAAGGGCAGATTTTGCTCCTTGTGCATGGCAAGCAAAAGAAGAGAACATTTTATTTAAATTTTTTTATTTTTAAATTTGTTCTAATTAGTTATACATGATAGTAGAATGCATTTTGATACATTGCACACAAACGGAGCACAACTTCTTCCTCTGGCTGAACATAGTGCAGAGTCACACTGGTTTTGTAATCATACATATATATAGGGTAATAATGTCCTTTTCATTCCACTATCCTTCCCATCCCCACACCCCCACCCCTCCCTTCACTCCCCTATGCACAATCAAAAGTCCTTTCATTCCCCCTTCCCATTATGGATCAGCATCTGCTTATTAGAGAAAACATTCAGCCTTTGGTTTTTTGGGTTTGGCTTATTTCACCTAGCATGATATTCTTCAGCTCCATCATTTCACTTGCAAATGCCATAATTTCATTCTTTTTTAAGGCTGAGTAATATTCCATTGTGTATAGGTACCACATTTTCTTTATCCATTCATCTGTTGAAGGGCATCTAGGTTGGTTCCATAGCTATTGTGAATTGAGCTGCTATAAACATTGATGTGGTACATCACGGTAATACACTGATTTTAAGTCCTTTGAGTATAAACTGAGGAAGGATAGCTGGGTCAGATGGTGATTCCAGTCCAAGTTTTCTGAGGAATTTCCATACTGCTTTCCATTATTGGCTCCACCAATTTGGAGTCCCACCAGCAATGCATGAGTGTACCTTTTCCCCCACATCCTCGCCAACACTTATTGTTGCTCTTATTCTTAATAATTACCATTCTGTACCATTTTGACTTGAATGAAATGAAATCTTAGAGTAGTTTTGATTTGCATTTCTCTAATTGCTAGAGATGATGAACATTTATTCTTATGTTTGTTGATCAATTGTATTTAAAAGAAGAGACCACTTTAAATAAAAGATGTCTTGAGGTTGTGGTAGAGACATTGTCTAGAACCTGTGAGGCCATGGGTTCCATACCCAGCACTTGTGGGGGTGTGGGGAGGAGGAGTAATTCTTCCATCTCTTTTCCAGCAACTCATAATAATTTAGGACAACACTGGCAAGATGCTGTCCAAATTGCAAGAGTATCAAAATTATTGAAGTCTGTCCTGTGGAAAAGAGGTATAGGTTGGGTTTTGCAAAGAAGAAATAAGACTTCTTTTGCTATTAATCCAATTCCTGGTCACATATTTTATATCTTTGGTACTAAAACATTCAAGTCCTAGGCTAGTTTATGCTAGGTCTCCTCAAATATCTACTTGAATATGCATGGGTGCGCGCACACACATCTATACACTTATACATATATGTGTGTGTGCATGTATGTGTGTGTGTGTGTGTGTCTGTAGTCCTGGATATGAAAACCAGAGACACTCTACAACTGAATTACACCCCCAGAACTTTTTTATTTTTTTTATTTTGAGAAAAGTCTCACTAAATTGCCCAGGCTGGCCTCAAACATGCAATTCTCTCCTGCCTTAGCCTCTCAAATAACTGGAATTGCAGGTGTGCTTCCATTTGACTATCTTACATACACATCCCCAAATTTAAGTGTTGCTTGGTATGGTCATACATAACTGTATGAAACTGAAGCAGGAGGATGACAACTTTGAGGCCATTTCAGCAACTTAACAAGACCCTGTCTTAATATTCAGTTATGATAAGGGCTAGGGATGTAGCTCATTGCCGGAACATCCCTAGGTTTCATCCCCAGTATTGAAAAACAGAAAATTACAACATCAAACAAGTGCCTGGTTTTTACCTCAAACTATCTCTCTTCCTCCTGCCCCATCATTGCTAAAGCCTAAACCATGAGAAACAATCTTCACAGTTGCTTTTTACTCATCCTCTCCTCTCTACCAATGTATCATCGAGTTTAGTAGCAAACAAGATCCTTCTCCATATAAAATTTTTAATTAAGTGAGATTTAAAAATACAAACAGGATTCAGAGAGAATAAAATTATCTCTGGGTATGGCCCCACATACCCACCCATAGTCCAAGCTCCTTGGCAAACTAAACCAGGATGAGCACTTGAGCCTAGTAGCTAGAGGCCAGCCTAGGCAGCACAGCCAACCTGCCCTAAAAAAAAACAAAACAAACAAACAAAAAAGGAAAACCATCAGTTATACTAATGGCAAATCTGTACTGCAAAATTGGGCTTACAGTAAGGAAAAAATGTTGCTACTTACTCTGGGCTGATCATGCCCTAAGAGGATAATTGGTCAGCTTGTCCAGGATCAGGGCCTGCCTCAGCCTAGTACAGAAGGCAAAGACAGATGAGCTACACCTGAGAAATGTCTCAGTGGTCTTATTCTCCCAGGAAAGAAACTTTAATGTAAAGGAGGTCGGATTTTCATTTCAGGAATGACAGCAGGGGACGTAGCTCAGTGGCAGAGCACTTGCCCAGCACTCACAAGTTTGAGTGAGTTTGACCACCAGGACCACCAAAAATAAAACTTAAATTAAAAAGCAGCAGCAAATACTTTGACTCTTCACCCCTAGAGAGAAGAAACCTGTGAAAAGTGATGCAACAAGAGTTTCTTCATCAATTCCAAGGAAGAACAAAAATAGACTAACGTAAAAAAAAAAAAGAGGGGGGTGGGGGAAGAGATCTCTGGGTGAATTGGCACACACAAACCTGTAATCCAGAGACTAGGGAAGCTGAGGTGGGAGGATCTCAAGCTTGAGTTGTGCCTGGACAATTTAGTGTGGCCCTGTCACAAAATAAAAAATAAAAAAAGATTGGGGATATAGCTCAGGTGCAAAATGCTCCTGGATGATATGATAGACATGCTCTTTTACATATGGAAGGAGATTGTACATCATTTTACCTGATTTTCTGGCTCTTCCTTTGTATCTCTCCCCATCATCACATTTCATATTGGAAATCTGCACATATGTGGTGACAAAATGAACCAGAGGACAAAGCTCAGAGATGAGTATGGACTTTTCTATGCTCTGCCCAAAGGTCTTTCAGGCTGAAGGCCTCTCCACAGAGCTGGCAGCTGAAGTGCTTCTCACCCTATGATTTTCTGGTGGCCTGGGAGACTGAACAACACCTCAAAGTTTGGTTCCATTGGAAGCACTCAAAGGACCTGGTCCCTATGTACACTGTTTGACAAGTGGCTAGCTGACTGTGGCAGCTCAGCACCTTCCTGCAAAATGCCACAGATAGACCCATGATCTTTAGCCTGGTACGGTACTTGTAATTCTCCCTGGGGACTTGCCGCCATTTGTAGGAGTTTCCACACACCTTGACATGGAGAGCCACAGGCTTGTCCATTTTCCTCCCCAAAGCAGCTCTGTGAAGGTACATGTTAGCTGTGGTCTGAAGGAAGATCTTCCTGAAGCCAGCCATATTCTGGGATCTTCCCCACAGGAGGACTTCTTAGGAGACTAGGCCAGCCAATCACAGCACCTCTTCTCATCAACAGGCTTTCTTGCAAGAATAAGGAAGATGTGAGATGCTGAACTGGCTACTTGCTGTTTTATTTCTCAAACTACCGAACATTTATCTACAGTAATTTGGCCATGAGTATTCCTCTGGGTAATGACAAATGTGCTTTTTCATTGGCTTTTTCTAGATTAAATCTTTGCTATTTGCCAAGTAACTGGATGTGTCAGTGTCCGCATTCTTTTCTTACTTTCTGATCTGTTTCTTGTGTTGGGAGGGAGTAGCCATACTGACAGCTGCTTCTGACCACAGTTCCAGGTTTTGCTATTACAGTTTTTTAAAATTATTTCTCAACTCTTCCCTCCTCTTTTTTTTGGGGGGGAGTGTGGTTTAAAGTAGCATGTTATTACTTCTTGTCTCCTGACTTTAATGATATCCAAGTCCAAGACAAAGGAAAGATTCAGAATACATCCTACTTCTAAAGGGAATGCAAATGCTGGAATTAAGAGGATCACCCTCTTTAGTCATGTGCAGAGGTGCACACCTGCAAGCCTAGCAACTTGGGAGGCTAAAAAAGGAAAATTTCAAATTCAAGGTCATCCCAGGAAATTTATAAAAGACCCTGTGTCAATAAATAATAAAAGGGCTGGGAGTGTGTCTCATTCATACAGTGTCCCAGGGTTCAAGTCCCCAATGCCACCCACTTTGTCATTGTTAGTTCTTTGAGAGGTGAAGAGGAAAATTTTTGATAGTTCTATAAAACATTTTCTTGTTCCTCTATGCTGGGTATTGAACCTCAGCATGCTACACTAGTGTTCTACAGTGAGCAAAGTTCCCAGCCCACTGTCAAAGTTTTTTGGTTTCTTTGTGTGTTTGTAATACTGAACATTGAACCCAAGGCCTCACACATCACCCCTGGGAATTCTTAACTGCTCTATTGCATGTAATGATTTCTGTTCACTTGGCAAAATGCAGTGAAGTTTTCTTGAGTAAATACCAGAATTACATGATACTAATTATCTGTACTAACCTGCTAATCCAGGGCCCATAGAAACCAGTGCTTTGGGAGGACTCTGGTGATCATTACTGCCCTCTACAGACTATTCTGGAAAAAGACATGCTACTGCTGTCCTGGTTCCTGCTCTCCCCACCTTGATTGCTCTTCTCACCTGTGTGCTTGTCCCATCTCATCTCAGATACAACCACTACTTGGGTGTGTCATGGGGGGAGTAAACAATGAATGCAGATAAGCATTTTGAACCTGATTACTATTACTTTTCTCAGTCCATGTGCTTATTTTACACACACACACACACACACACATACACACAGATTCCTTGCTTTTTTTCCTAAAGTTGTGACATGTTCACATTTTCCCAGCTTTTTTTTTTTTTTTTTTTTTTTTTAGAGACAGGGTCTCACTAAGTTGCTTAGGGCCTTGCTAAATTGCAGAGGTTGGCCTTGAACTTGTCATCCTTCTGTTTCATTCTCCCAAGCTGCTGGGATTACAGGCATGCATTATCTTGCCTAGCTTTCCTTTTCTTGTTTTAAGAGGTGTTTTATAGAAATAAATGGTTTTATATTTTTTTATGGTACTCGATAGTGAACCCTGGGGTGCTCTACAACTAAGTTACATCCCCCAGACACTTCTACTTTTTATTTAGAGACAGGGTGTCACTAATTTGCTGAGGCTGACCACAAACCAGCAAATCTCCTGCTTCTGCATCCTGGGTCACTGGGGTTATAGGCACGGTTCACTGAGCTGGGCTTTCTATCATGCGATTTAAAATAGTAATACTTCCCTTCCTTACGTGAGATTATTTAACCCATATCTGGCTGTGTTCCCCAGCTACCAGAGTCATGCATTCAACCCATCAGGGTCTTCCTCATGTTTGTGTTTATACAACAGGAGCCCTTCCCAAACAGCACAGGAGGGAATTGTTCTCAGGGATTTTGCAAGGCATTGTCATAGGTTCAAAGCAGCAGCTGGTCCAGATGATGCTCACCCAGTTCCCACCTCTCCTAAGGGAACACTTAGAGTGATAGGGCCCTTTTCAGTGTATATACCATTCCTCATTTGAAGAAACAGAATATGCAATGTAAATACAAATACTGACATTTTAACATTACTGGGTTTGCTGCCTCTCTCCCCAGGAAAAGGAAGTCAAAGCAAAACTTCCCTGTGAATAGTCTGCTATAAGTCCATTTGTTTCTGATCATTTCTTTCAATAGAATGTTCCTAAGTTTTTATGCACATGAGTTGTTGGCCAGCACCAAAGGAAAAGAAAAACTTATTTTTGCTTTGCCATATATTTTTTCCTGTGACTATAAGTCTTTTATTTCTTTCTTTCTACAGATTAAAGTGCCTCATGCAAGTGGGGCTCAGTGGTAATGCCAGGTACTCAGGGAGTATGCTGAGCAGGAGGATTGCCAGTTTGAGGCCAGCCTCCCTAACTTAGGGAGGCACTACCTCAAATAAAATGGTTATAGATAGATTAGTGATAGTGAACTTGCCTAGTGTGAGTGAGGCCCTCATTTTGATTCCCAGTACTGAGTTATAATAATAATCATAATGATTCAAAAAATTCAGTGCATCATCTGCCTAATTTATTACTTGATAAAGTGCAATTTATTTCTGACCCTCATGGTCTCAGCTCTCCACAAATAGTGGAATTGTAAGGGTCCGGTGAAGCGTCGGAGGAAGAGACCACCAAGAGACTACTCATGCAATTGGCAGAAGGGGATTTATTGATCCAGCATGCTGGGGCTCCATGCCCACTCAAGAAGGGAGAGCAGCCCAGAGCCCAGAGCAGGGGTTGAACAATGCTTAAGTACACTTTTTGGGGAGGGTGGGGGCTTTGCATACATCACAGTCTCCTTTAACAAATCACCTTACACCGTGGGAAAATCAAACAACAACTCCTAAACTTGATTAGTACATTCATTGGCGGGAACAGGGCTGGCTGGAGTGATAGGTCATTCCTAAGGAGGGGATTACATTTAAACTGATTGGTTCGGGCCCTGAATGTCTACGTGACAAGCTGCACAGGATCTTAGGCTATAAATCAACTAAATGGCCAGTAGGGCATTGTCTTAACTGCCTCAGGAATTTAACCCATGCTTTGCAGTTTAGAAGCAGGTTTACAATGCCTGGTCCTTTACATTTTAACTCAGGCTTTGCAGCTTAGAAACTTTACCCTTTCAGAATTAACTGGTAATTTTTTGAAATTAAATTACTTTAAGCATTTTAAATTAGGTATTTCCTTTTTTTTTTTTTCATGACATTCTGTGAGCTCTGCTAGCTACAGCTCTGGTTTGCTCAATTTATCATTGAGAATTGGTCTGGCTCCCCTCTTCCTTCTTCTTATCTTCCTTTTGTCCATTTTCTTCTTCACCAGAGGAAAAGATCAAGATTTAAGTCTATGAATTTTGCTTTTCATTTATAATCCATGTGTCAGGGAAAACATACTAGAGGTGGAAGAAAATGATATTTGAATATAACTAAAAATCCATTTTCCTACTCATGTGTCGATATAATGCCAATGACTTTAAGTATGATCATTCCTACAATTAGTCTTGTCTTCTTAGGCACATACTTACTTTGGTTTGATTCTAGGTTGTGCAAACCAAATCATCACAATGAGAGGACCCTCCATATTCTAATTACATGTCAGCATAACTAACAAACTTGCTAGAAAATAAACCCAGACTCAGATGTTAAGGATTCCTGGGGCACCTTAGCAGTTAATGCTGGATCTTGACAGATGAGGTCAGGAAGGATTCAACCTGCTGAATGCTCCAAATAGTCCACATGACCCAGATGAGCAAGGTTTCCTCCTTACCACCTCTATTCTGCCCTAGTCTTCTCTCTCCTTCCTTTTCTTCCTGAATACTTTTTTTTACCTACTTCTACCATTTGTCTATAAAACTGTTACCAGAGTGCAAGCTTTGATAAATCAATGTCTCTCTTTTATTTTTGTTTTCTTTTTGCTGAATTTCTCATACCTGATAGGCAAGTAATGAGCTGTGTCCCCAACCATTTCTTATTTTTATTTAAATGCAGGTTCTCACTAAGTTGCCTGGCTGGCCTCAGAATTATGATCTTCCTGCCTGACATATCTTGGTCATTAGCATTAGAGATGTGCACCACTGTACTTTGCAAAGAAATAATTATATATGTGTGTTTTTAGTTCAAATGTCCAGCATCTGAAACAATGCAGGCATACAATAAGTACTCAAAAAACAATTGCATGCTGGGCACAGTGGTGCATGCCTATAATCCCAGTGGCTCAGGAGGCTGAGACAGGAGGATCAAAGCCAGCCTCAACAATGGTGAGGCACTAAACAACTGAGACCTGATTTCTAAATAAAAAACAAGAAAATAGTGCTGGGGATGTGGCTCAGTGGATGAGTGCCTCTGAGTTCAATCCTCAGTACCCATCCCCCCAAAAAAAATTTCGTGTGGCTGGGCTCAATTATAGAGTGCCTATGCTTAGCATGAGCAAGCCATAGTTTCCATCCCTAGCAATGCAAAACAAAGCAAATGGATCAAACAAACAAAACCATTTACATAAATGAATGATAAGACCCTTTATCTAGATCCTGGAAAGTATTCAATAAATGCCAGCCATTGTTATGTCTCACATTAAAATCAAATAGGAATTCTGTGGATGCAACTGCCCTCTGGCTTCTTTATCCAGGGTGAAAACCTCATGGTAACCTTAGTCTCTGCTGTTCCCTGAGCCCACCCTCAGTCAGTTATCAAAACTTATCTTATGGTGCAGATACAACTGGCTCCTACCTGCTGTTGCCACCTCGGTTGGGGTTCACTCTTAGTGCTCCTCTTCAACCCCATCACTTCCCTTCAATCCATTCTCCACAGTCCATCTCAGAAATAGGAGGGTGCCACTCCAAGTGTTCTTAGGAGACAGAACTGAAGTGGTTGGTATGTAGATTAATGTGCTTGCCAATCTCTGAGCAAGGATCTCCTTATTCTTTTCTTTTAAGGTGCTGGGGATGAGACCCAGGGCCTTGCACAGGCTAGGTAAGCACTCTACCTCAGAGCCACACCCCAAACACTCACCACAGTCTTCATGTTGCTGGATATGACATTGCTTCTCTATTAGGACCTTCCTAATACTTAATTCTACTTAAGTGACAAACCACCACCTAGCCTCCAGTTCCCTTTCACTTAATTTCCACTGCTCCCTTGGAATC